GCTGAAAAAAAAAAAACCAACGTCCTTCTCTCTCTTCCTTTCGTTCTCCATCCCAGTTTCGAATTTCGAGAAAGAGGAATCCAAGATGGGATAGCGAGAGAAGCATTAAATTCGAGTGGGTCGGTTGACAAAAAAAGAGAAAGAGGGGGAGCAAGTTACCTTCTACCCTACGTTTGAAGTGGAAGGTAGTCGTCGAATAGCCGGTAGGACGCGATGCAGAGAGGCGAAAAGAAGGAAATTCAAACGCAAAGAAATTTATTTCTTTGATTGACATTCAAAAAGAACACCCTCCCCTCCCCGAGTTTCCTTTAACTTGAATTATGAATAGGGAAGAGAGTGCATAGGCTTCCCTCCTGAAGGGGGAAAAACATTTTTGCCGTGAGAGGAGAGAGCAGACGTAAATATTGACTCGCGGACTTACGGCTCGTCTTCGTATGGGGGTGGGGGGCATCCCCCTTTTTCGCGAGGGTTCGCCGCACCCGCGCGATCGCCGAAAGTAGAATAAACTATGGTAATGATGATGCAACGTTTTCACTCACCGGCTCTCCATCCTGCATTTCCCCTCCCGCGCTTTGCAGTTGCTTTTGAAGTCCTCGTAAATCTGGCTGCACGGTTTGCCGCGTAAACAGACGCTCAGCGCATGATTGCAGGTCGGCAGCGCGTCGATCGGATCCTTATCTGGAATACCGAGAGAGAGAAAGAGAGAAAGAGAGAGGGTTAATACAATTTTTTTCCATCCGTGTCTCTTCTCAAATACGGACGATCGAGTGGATATGAACGGAGGCAAAGGTGTGCAGCAAGGGGAAGAGGAGATGAGTTTGCTGGTAGGGGGAAAGGAAAAAAAAAAGAAAATTTCCCTGCTGCGAACATTCGACACGTTCGGTTTATCAGAGTTTTGAGTATTCGAGTATCTTTATCTCGTTGAATCTGTATACTTTAAGGAAGATTTGGAGGAGGAGAAAAAAGGAATTCAATGAATACTATTTTAAATATTAATATATATATATCTGATATATATATANGTTGACTAATTAAAAAAATTTCTCCAACTAAATTGTATTCGTCAATAATTTAGCATCAAAAAAATTCAAGATATTATTAATAATTGCTCTCAAGAATAGAAAAGACGTATTCGTTCAGCGACGAAGAAAATAATAAAAGCTATTCTCCTATCTGAAGAAGGAAGAGAATACAGATAGGGTTTAAAGAGGCGAAGAGAGATTTTTCGCGGATAAAGAGGGAAAGATCGGAAAATTTCCTGTGAATAATTTCCAAGATCGTTATCCTTACCCTCCGTTCGCGAATTCCTCGGTAATAAAAAAAACGATTAAATTAATTCATTTCAAGAAGATCGGCGGAGATGACGAAGAAGATGGTTCGAAGAAATCATAAAAAATTATGAGGAGAACACAAAATCGATTCGATCATTGTTACATACTCATAGATTGAAAGAAGATTAACTGTTTGCGAATGCAGTATATATAACTATAAAATATATACGTATAAACAAAAAGAATAAAAAGAAAAAAGAGATTCTCCCTTTTTGGAATCGACAGAGTAAAGCCATTCTTCCGGGATCCGGTAAGAGTGAGAACGAAAAAAGGAAAACTGACGGAAGAGAGAAAGAGGGCGAGAGAGGCGAGAGGGTTGAAGAGGAAAAAGAAAGAAAAAAAAAAGG